TAACAATATGAAATTGGTCGAAGACCCGTACTCAGGAAATAAAATAACAACATAAAACGCTCACTGAGTTTCCAGCGATATACATACCCTTTTCTAGATATATACCTAATAATAATAAACGAACGAAACGAATGTATTCCTTCCACTCGTGAGCTCATTTACCATTGTCACATATAGTAAATGTCCAGGCCTTGTGACCCTGGATGGGCACTTAAAAGGAAAGAATACACACACACAAACTGCGCATGAACGAACGTTCAAAGTGAATGCCTCTTGTTAGCCACCTTTATTATTATTAGGTATATATCTAGAAAAGGGTATGTATATCGCTGGAAACTCAGAGAGCGTTTTATGTTGTTATTTTATTTCCTGAGTACGGGTCTTCGACCAATTTCATATTGTTATTTTTGGTGCTTTGCACTTAAATCCTACAGTTGTAGGTAAATATTCCTGAAGGTCATGGATTTGACTAAAGGTTTGTAATTGATATTCATATTTCCTGATATGGTTTGTTATGATATGACGACAAGGAAATGAGTCGTGTGAGACATATTGTTATGCTAATAATAATTTTGTAGGTGGCTAACAAGAGGCATTCACTTTGAACGTTCGTTCATGCGCAGTTTGTGTGTGTGTACTCTTTCCTTTTAAGTGCCCATCCAGGGTCACAAGGCCTGGACATTTACTATATGTGACAATGGTAAATGAGCTCACGAGTGGAAGGAATACATTCGTTCGTTCGTTTATTATTATTAGGTATATATCTAGAAAAGGGTATGTATATCGCTGGAAACTCAGAGAGCGTTTTATGTTGTTATTTTATTTCCTGAGTACAGGTCTTCGACCAATTTCATATTGTTAAAACAAAGAATAATCAAAGAATACTATTAATATTTCATATAGAATGGGCATTGAAGTCGAAATGTGCAAAACATTTATGCTTTACCTCATATAGCTTTGATAATAGCCGAGACCAAAATCCGTAATATAAGATTAAAATTAATCATCTTAAATTTGATTTATATTTCTAATTTTGGTTTTTTCCAAATTGCCAAATTGCCAAATTAATAGGGAGTGAAAAGTTTCCAGCTATTTTACACAAACAATTATGAATTATGTATACAGATTACAGTATTTACTCGTTTAAGCCTTGGATTAAGCGCCTCGTAAATATTGAAGGCGCCGTCCTCGAATAAGCGACGCAACTGAAACACCATAGCCTGCAAAGCCCGCGAGCGCCTGCTTTATACACGCTAGAAACACTACAAATTTAAAGAGCGCTGCGGGCGCTCAATGTTAGTAAATACTAGTTAAATTATTCACATTCAATTTTCTCGGCTAAAACGAACCATATCACCAACAGATAAACTTACATAAAGAAAAGATAAACTTGCATGCCGTCAAACGTAAAGAAAATCCAAAATCCTGATTTTTTCTATAAAAACCTTTATTAACAACAATAACAACAGTGTATTCCAGTATCATCAATCTATATGAATAACAATGGTACAAATGTCAGCAATATTTTACAACAGCAGCAGCACCAGATCTTGTTTTAGCCATGGCTGGGAACTCTGTCCACGTGTTGGTGTGGAAATTATAGCATTCAACAGAGTTAAGATCAGTGTCACTTTCATCACACCCGCCCATTGCGATAATATTATCACCAATGGTCACTGCTGTGCAACCATATCGCTTCTTTGTCATCTCGGGAAGCATTCGATGACTTCCTGTGGTAACATTATACAGTATCACTGTACTGAGAGTGTTGTGTTGATTGTCCACCCCGCCAAGGACGACCACATTGTCTTTCCAAGTTACAGTTGTCATCGTTGATGCCGTATATGGAAGCGGTTTCAGCTCTGTACAAGTATTGGTTGCTGGGTCAAACATGAGAACAGTGCTGGTTGCATCTTCATAATCTCCTGTCGTACTACCACCAATGATGTATATCTTGCCATTCACTATCTCAGCACCATGGTAACATATTGGCATGGGCATCTTGGTAAGCAACCTTGATGTATAGGGAGGGGTCAACTGAATTTCATGTATTGTATCATAGGTTTCAGGAAAAGCATATCCTCCAATAAGAAAAACACGATTCTGATATACTACGCATGCGTGACCACAGGACGGTACTGGTAATTTAAATTGAGATACAACCCAATGTCCATCTTGCTCAGCAAGATTTAGTTCTTCAGCACTGTCCTGGAGTTGGCATATTCCAGACTCCTCCTGGACCCCACCTGTCACAATCATGTGACCTTGGTATAAAACTAAACTTGCTCCATCTCTACATTCATTCATCTCTGACAGTGACCGCCATGTTTTGGTTGTCATGTTGAACACTTCGACAGATTTATCAAACCCTCCTGCGACGACAATCTCGGCTTGCAATTCCTGACCACTGCTTGCATGACTGCCTTCTGAACGTTGTGCCGTATTTCTTTCAAGCCTTGTAAGACTAGACATCATATTTTGCATCATTTTAAACATTTCATCTAGTGTAGAGCGAACTTCTCTCAACTCGGCTTTTATTTTACGAATTTCTTTCTGGGCTGGACATGTATGCTGCATAAAGTTCTTATACAGCACCATTTGGGCGCAGTAATCACACTTGACTCGTCGAAAACCACAAACTTTATTTTCATGGATTTCTTTATCACGTCGACTTATTATTTCCTCACATTGATCGTTGGAACATGGCACTGGACTGAAACCACAAGTTGCTACGTGTGTGTCGAGTGAGCCAAGTTCGATGACCTTGCGACAACCACGCTCGGAATTCTCGCACGAAATCTTCAAACTTGACAGGGTGTTCGCTAGGAATCGTTGAGGTCTGACCAGGGTCTCTACGGTCAAGGGGTCTTTACATGTTGGACAGTTCTGTGAATGTCGTAGATGTTCAGTGATACAATTCCTACAGAAATGATGTTCATTCCTGCGACATTGCACTGGATCTTTTAATACTTCTGTGCATATTGCGCAATGAAGGCTTTGATCAACTTGCGTTTCAAATCTGCTATCTTCATAACCTGTTGCCATCGCTTGTCTACATCACTTGATATCTACATTTTTCTTTCCAAACATTCGCAGCAAAGTAACACAAACAAAGGCAGACGTTTGAATATTCAATCCGTGACGTCTCTCCATGTAGACGTTTGAAGATTTAATCTGTGGCGTTTCTCTTTATTGGAAGTTCAGTGCTTTTGACTTTGAGGAATTTTGACAATGTCCTGTTTTCAACTTGCTTGCTTTTTTTTGCAACTTCACCACAGGAAACAATTTTGCTACACAAAATGTCATTCAAAGTTATTCAAACTCATACGTGTATATCTTCATTAAGAGACATATATTTTAATTCATATATTCTGTCTTGATAAAGTTGTCCTAAATTATTTGTTCTTCTCTATAGTTTAACTCAGAGACGAGATATATCTGAAACACTGTTGCGTTGTGAATAATTGCAGAACATTCGAGCAAACTTACTTTCATGCTAATTCCGACACCGAATACAGGTGGCATCAGGTGACAATACGAAAACCATCGGACGGATAAACACGAAACAATAGGAGACCCTCCATTCCAATCTCTTTCAAACGTTCTCTCCTGTCGTTCAAACGGGTCGCATGACATGACGTCCGATATATGGCAGTTTTGAAACGTTTTCCCACAAGTCACGCCTCACATTATGTATATACAGTATTTACTTGTTTAATTAAGCGGAGGCCTTCATTGAGCACTAGCTGAATTTTGAAGAGCGCCGACAGGGCCGTCCTCAGGAAATTCTTCAGGC